GTAAGTAGTATTGTGCAGTGAGCAGCCCACTCACATAAATAATGTCACTTTTAACATGCTAAACATAGTTCCATTAAGTTTACAAGGCTATTAGTCATTTATACCATTTTTTACTTTACAAGCCATATTTTTTTACCAGTGCTACTATTTGATTGGTTTGATTAGTAAGGCAACACAACATTATTGTGAAGCCTATATTTTATTACAAAAATCAATTTAATGACAGTCTGGTTCCACAATAGTCAATACCAAGGCTACGCTGATCTCAGTTTGTTGTAAGAAAAGGAGTACTTGTGGCACCTTAGAGACTAACCAATTTATTTGAGCATGAGCATGCTCAAATAAATTGGTTAGTCTCTAAGGTGCCACAAGTACTCCTTTTCTTTTTGCGAATACAGACTAACACGGCTGTTCCTCTGAAACCTGTCAGTTTGTTGTGTAACAATCTAATGCAGAAACACGTACACAGCTCTACTTGTTCTTAAAGACTGACCAGCCTCCATAATACTACTCTGTCTCTTCTCAGAGCACTAAAGAGAAAAACAGGTCAAACTGTACTGTAAATGATTGCATGCCCAGATAGGACACATCAGCAACTGTACTTTTCATTGACATTTTTAAATCCATTTGTCTCTCAGGCCCATGAATATCAAGTTCCCCAAAACTGATATTATCTGATCCATGAGAATCCACAGCATGAACTTTGCTGGCAACCCCACCCCCAGTGCTGGATGAACAAAGTAAATCCAAAAAGAAAAGGAGTACTTGTGGCACCTTAGAGACTAACCAATTTATTTGAGCATGAGCTTTCGTGAGCTACAGCTCACTTCATCGGATGCATACCGTGGAAACTGCAGCAGACTTTATATACACACAGAGATCATGAAACAATACCTCCTCCCACCCCACTGTCCTGCTGGTAATAGCTTATCTAAAGTGATCATCAAGTTGGGCCATTTTCAGCACAAATCCAGGTTTTCTCACCCTCCACCCCCGCACACACAAACTCACTCTCCTGCTGGTAATAGCCCATCCAAAGTGACAACTCTCTACACAATATGCATGATAATCAAGGTGGGCCATTTCCTGCACTTGTTTTTCTAGTCAGTAGTTACCTAAGTCTCTTGACTTGTTTTTAAAACCTTACTAAACCAAACAAACAAAATACTTCCTTTAATCCCCTTACCTAGACTCCAAGCTCCAGTCCTGATTTCTGGTGGGGAATCTAAGGCTATGTCTACACTGCCACTTTCAGCGCTAAAACTTTAGTCATTCAGGGGTGAAACCCCCAACCCTCCCCCAGCCACAAAAGTTTTAGCACTGAAAAGCGCCAGTACAGACAACACTTTATAGGTGGGAGCCCGGTTCCTGGCGACAAAGCCACCACCGCTCGTGCAGGGTGGGCTGTTTTTTTTTAAATCGCTGGGAGAGCTCTCCCCGGCGATAAAGCGTGTCTACACTGCCCACTTCACACTGTAGCCATGGCCGCACTGTAATGTGGGGAGTGTAGACATACCCTAAGAGTGGGAAGCTGCCAATAGCACTGGACTGCTTTTCATGAAAGGCAGAAGTAAAAGCTACAAATTAGGTGAAGTGCCTTGTAATCCTATTTATTACTGCAGCCATATTTTTACAATACAGGTGGCCTTTATTTAACGGTATGGAGATAATCTTTTGTAAAAAGGCTGAAACTTCCCTTCTGTCTTTCATCTTGTGCACAAATGCTGGCCTTGAAAAGACAGCAGGAATTTCCCTAGAGGATGATTCAAAAACATATTAACAAAAGAGAAAATGACCATACATACCATTTTCAATATGTGAGAATTTCCCCAAAATCTGTCTGTTTGATAAGGTAACTACCATAATAGAATAAATATAAAGAGAAAGGGTCTTTAATCCTATGAAAGAGTTTCAAATTACAATACATTTTATGCCTGTTAATTTATTAGGAAGCTAGATAAATTTGCTGGAGAAGACACTAGATTTTTCATTCTAGGAACCCATTTATGTTTCAACTGAAGAGCACTGAGATTTGGGATTCAGTTTACTAATCTCTCTCTCAACCACGCTATACTTTAGGGAAGTAGGGCTCCAGAAAGGTCCCGAGCTAAATTAGCACAGAAAATGAATCATTCCTCACTCCAGTACAAGTGATCCCTTTAGGTTAGGGTGGAGAAACTAGTTCTGCAACTACCTACACAAATAATATCAATACAGTACAGAATCATAACTAAGCTAATCCTTGTGCAAAATCCTAATATTAAGAAAAATTAAGAGAGTTTTTTTACAATATAAGTATTCTTAATAATTAGACAGCATCAGTTGCTGCTGATCACTGACCTCAAGTTATTGAAAAAATCTTAGCCCTCAGAGATTAAAATCTAGTATGCAAAAGTATTGTCATGTAAGTATTATTTTACTTTAGATTGCAAAATATGTCATATATGTTTGCACAACTCAATGTTATTATTCATCTATGTATCACTGCTTGCCACCACGGTATCAGATAGTGGGTTTGTAAATTATTTAAAAATCAAAGCACTGATTCTGCAAAAATTACACGAGTAACTTTACTCCTGGGTGTAGTCCCGTTAAACTGAATGGCTCTACTCACATGCATGAAGTTACATGCATGTTTAACTGTTTTGCAGGATCAGGGAAGTGGATTAAATAAGTTGCTGATGTTAGTAAAGGGACACATATGGCATGTGTCTATAACTGAACAATCTAAGATAAACTGATCATGATTACCAGGTACAACTATATGTTCTGACGTGGTTTATGTCACTCATCAACTACTGTAATAAACCACAGACAGTTTGAAGTGTTTCATTTAGCACTGGTGAAGCTGGAGTTCAGCTCTGGCACAATAAAATGGCTGAGATTTATGGTGACAGTATTATAAAGATATTGACAAGACCAGCTATTAGACAGTGATGTACATATGCAAAAAGAAAAGGAGGACTTGTGGCACCTTAGAGACTAACCAATTTATTTGAGCATAAGCTTTCCTGAGCTACAGCTCACTCCACCACAAGTAGTACTATATAGTGCAGTCCCAGTTTTGATGGATCATGGATAAATTACATTTAAAAGTGTCCATGTGCACACATTAAGAAAATACTTAAAGCTAAGGCCTTAATCCTGCAACCCTGATTTCAACAGAATTTAAAATGAGTAAAGTAAAGCACACGGTTAAATCTCTGCAGGATTGGGTCCTCATGGATATTCATGTGTCCCTGCTTATTTTGTTAAAAACTGTAGTCTGCTTGCTGACCCAGTTGTTCATCAGCTTTTGTTAGATTATAACCTTTGCAGAGCTAAAATTACTTATTTATTTGGTCTACATTACTTACAATCAGTGTGTACAGTTATGGTGCTAGAGTGAATAAAGTAGATAATGGAACCTTGTTATCAGTATAGACTTTTTTAGCACACACCCAAGATCACTTAGAACTGAAGGTCTTTTTACAGACAGCAGAAAAGTCACCCTGTCTCTTCACTTCTTAAAAAAGCTCTGACAGTTTAAGAAGCTGCCTCCTTTTCCTTCCCTTTCCTCCTTTTGTTACAGGATACACAGTATTATGTTCAGATTAAACCTCTGTCTCCTCCTCAGCTGGGGCATCATGAAAGAAAGAAGCATTTTGAGATCCAAGCTTCCTGGAAGTTCAGCATAGGTGTGTCAGCAACGTAACATTTAGGATTTGTCACATTACAGGGGCAGGTGCAAGTTGGGGCATTCAGATCCAAACCAGAACCACCTCCTGCCAAACTTTGTTTTGTGGAAGGGGGGGAGACCAGCTGGTCCTAGCATTCCAGGCCCCTCCCCAGCAGTTCTGCAACACGATGTAATACCCGGTTATTTCATAAGCAGAAAAGGGGAAAGTGTGAGGAGCATCTGCCCTGGATGCATCCTCGAGGTAGGGTGGGGATGTGTGTGTCGTCCCCAGCCCCCTTTACGCTTGGGGTGTCCCCTTGGCAGGCGGGACGCCTTCTCCTCCTCTCCGATCTGCAGATACCCGCTTTCAGCCGCAGAAGGTGCGCGAAGGGGAGGCAGGTCTTCTCCCCGGCCCTGTCGGTCCCCAGGCTACCTCTGGACTCCAAACCCCAGGCGCCGAGCGATGCTCTGTGTCCTCCCCTGCCCCTTACCTCTAGGGTAGGACAGTCCCTTCCCCCAGGACTGGGCTCGGCTCCGAGGGCTGCTGCAGCTCCTCCAGCCCCTTCCTCCTGGGCCTGCTGCTGCAGGCTGCTCCCCCGGGCGGAGCGGGGGCGGCCGGGGCCCTCCTAGGCACCGCTCTCGCTGGGGGCATCTCCCCCGGCGCCACTGACTGGCGAGGAGGTGAGCGCCCCATTCTCCTCGCCGGCCACGGCGTGCACCAGCCAGGCGTCCAGGCGGGTGCGGGGGATGTAAGGGGCCCCCAGCGCCCGCACCTCCCGGAGCAGCAGCAGCCGGTCCCAGTCCCGCTCCGGGCTCTTGGGGTGCCCGCGTGGAAACCGTCCAGGGCCCGGCGCCGGGGCAGATCCGGGTCCAGCCGCAGCCCCGCCAGGCTGAGCAGGAGGGCGACCTGCAGCAGCAGCCCCTCCTCGGAGCAGCAGCGCCTAACCAGGGGCTTCAGCTCCGCTCGGGCAGCTCCCCCAGCGGCTCGCAGCAGCCGGCCCCAGGGGAGGCCGGGGCAGCACGTGTCTGTGCCGGGAAGGGAAAGAGAAACCAGACAAAGGAGCCCAGCGCGCTGCGGCCGCTCGGGCTCCCGCAGCAGCCACAAAGGGACCGCCCCCCCCCCTCCGACCGGCCCTTCCCTAGGCGGGCGAGGGCGAGGGGGCGGGCTGGGGGCACCCGGTGCTGGAGTGCTGCCACCCACCCACCCACGCCCGCCGCCACAGGCAGCTGCGCTGGGCCACCTGCCCCTGGAGCGCACCCTCCGGCCCTGGCCGCGGAGAGAGGCAGCCGGAGGGTGGGGCGGAGCCTCCCCGCTTCAGGCCGGCCCGCAGCCCTTGGAGCCCGCATGTGGCCTGGGGGACGACTTGCCCCTCCAGCGGCACGTGCTTGAGACACTCAGTCGTTCCGGCTCCCCAGAGCCAGGCGCTCCGAGTCATTCTCCGGGCCGGGGCCGGGCTCCACGACTTGGCGTGGCAGGATGCTCCGCCGTCGGACGCTTCGTTGTTCTCCTGTCACTGTAACTCTGCCCTGCTGGCGCCGCTCCGAGAGCACGTGAGCAACTGGGGCTGGTTCAACGGGCGAGGCTCCAGGCGGAGCTGCGGAGGGGGGAGAAAGGGGCCTCCTGTCTGTGTAGCCTAATGAAGGGAGGAGACGGAACAGGCCGGCGGCCGGGGAAAGACACGCAAAGCTCTCGGACTTGCAGAGTGACAGGGTTCAGAGCAGCAGCCGTGTTAGTCGGTGTCCGCAAAAAGAACAGGCGGACTTGTGGCCCCTTAGAGACTAACCAATGTATTTGAGCATAAGCTTTCCTGAGCTACAGCTCACTGCATCGGATGCACACTTTCCACAGGATGCATCCGATGAAGTGAGCTACAGCTCAGGAAAGCTTATGCTCAAATACATTGGTTAGTCTCTAAGGGGCCACAAGTCCGCCTGTTCTTTTTGCAAAGCTCTCTAGGGATTGACGTCCTCCTGCTCCCCCTCCTTTTTTTTACTCTGCATCGCCCCTTCCACAGCCTGCAACTTTCACAGCTCTGCGACCCACTGGGGGTTGTTAGTCACCGGCTACTCCCTGCTCGTGTGCCACTGTCACCTCCCCCTGTCCTTGTACTTGCTGGATTCTCACTTTTCCAATTCCCCTAAGTAGTGCTCATTGGTTCAGCCATATTGCAGGTTCTGTAGATTACAGGTTGAATTCAGCCCCACGCCTAAAGCACTGTATACATACTGATTTAACCCAGAATAGAAAAATACCATGTGAATTTAATGAAACAGAATTACCACGCTTGTTGCATAACACTTTCATTTTCTGACAGATGTTAAGATTGTATGCTTCATATTGCACTAAAGGATTTTATGCGTTGCATTTCCATTTTTAAAAGCAACCTACAAAATAATGAGACTGTGCTTAATAATGTTAGCATGTTAAGGCCTAGAATCTGCTCTGTGTGGTAGTCCCCTGTGCCAATGCCCGGCCCCACTTAATTCACTTCGGCTTTTGTGCAGTTGTAAGCGTCCGCCTGTGTACAGCACCTTGGTGAATCAAGTCCTTGGATTTTACTAAAGATGTGTATTACTAAGGAAACACCTACTTATGCTACATTTTAATGCTAATACTTTTTTCTTAATGCTAGACCTGAAAGCTGGACTCCAGGCATATCCCCAAGGAGAAATTCTGAAGAATTCCATAGTGTGTCACTCTCTTCTTTGGCTCTCCAGCTAAGCACTTGTCCCATCCCAGCACACAGTTACTTTCCTTCCCCCAGGGTTAACAGTTTTCAGTCATTCAAACCACAACAGATAATTTATAATCCCACTCTAACCAGGAAAAACTCAAAGAAATTCTCAGTTTGCCTATGAGCTGCATTGTTCCACTGAAAAAAGAAAAGGAGTACTTGTGGCACCTTAGAGACTAACCAATTTATTTGAGCATAAGCTTTCGTGAGCTAGAGCTCACTTTTCTTTTTGTGAATACAGACTAACATGGCTGTTACTCTGAAACCTGTCATTGTTCTACTGATTATAGGGCAATCATTTATGACCCTAATAAAATAATAAAACGTAATGGTATATAGACACAGATTTTAAATACAATTCATTTGGTACCTAAATATCTTCAATTGTTTAAATTCTCTTCCCCCCCCACAGTGTGACTATAATTTCAATAACTATCTACTTTGCACTATTTTAACTCACTTTGGGATTTATATACCTTAGAGTAGTTTGCTATTTTTGCTTTTTCCTTGTAATTACTTTGCTTCTACTCTTTGGGTCTTCTGAACAGGTCCTTTCCCCCTCCTGTTCTGCAGAATCTCTCCTCACTCCAAATCAGTTATGTGTCTCAAACAGTTGTTTTGACACTAAGAGGGACAATACCCTGCTGCACAGACACTGAAAGAGACATTTCCTAAACAGAAATTTCTGCCAGTAATGGGTCATATTTCTCATTTTTCTTTTGGCAGTGGTGATATTTCCCTTTTTCAGTTCTGCTAATTATATGCTGTTACTCAACACAAGAATCTAAAAAATATCCTCACTACAACGATTGATACTCTGTTGTCATTGACTTTTTTCAGTAATCCAAAGAAAAAGTCCGTCTAATACAGTGGTTCTCAAACTTTTGTATTGGTGACCCCTTTCACACAGCAAGCCTTTGAGTGCGACCCCCCTTATAAATTAAACCCACATTTTTTTATATTTAACGCTATTATAAATGCTGGAGGTGAAGCGGGGTTTGGGGTGGAGGCTGACAGCTCTCAACCCCCCCAGGTAATAACCTTGTGATCCCCTCCGGGGTCACGACCCCCAGTTTGAGAACCCCTGATCTAATAGAACCATGTACTTACTACCTATTAAATTTTTCTAGGTAGGATGAGACTGATGATTTCATTCCTGAATGGGTTCATTTAAGTTCATCTAAGGTTCACATTGTTGCTGCAAAGAAATAAATTATGGAACGATCTATACAAAGCTAAAAGAACCAGCTTTATTGCAATGCAATCTGTCCTCATTCTTGACAGCATAATGTGTTGTTGCTGTCTAAAGAATACATTTAACCAGTTTATTGTCTCTAGAACACTGGTGTGCAACCTGCGGCCCGCGAGTCGCACGCAGCCCGTCAGGGTAGTCCGCTGGTGGGCCGTGAGACAGTCTGTTTACATTGACTGTCTGCAGGCACGGCTGCCCGCAGCTCCCTCTCTTACATAGTAATACCATGCAATACAGGCTTACAACAAGGGTAGGGTTCCCAGCAGCCCTCACTCCCCAGTCCAGGCTCACCTTTTGAGCCCCTTCTGAGCTGCCCTTGCTTCCTGTTTCCTCCCCTTATATTCTCCCCAAATGGCTTGTTAGCCCAGTGATTGCCACCCAGGTGCTCACTATCCCCCAACAGAAAGTGTATCTAATTCTGGTTGGATGTATTCCTGGAGGTGTCGTCACATGACATAATCTTTAATTAAAGATTAATCTTTAATTCCTGGACACTCCAGGACAATCCCGGAGGGTTGGCATTCTCTAACCTATACTGGGCCTGCAACCAGAGGCGCCACCTCTCTGAGTTGCTGGGGGGTGCTAGACCTTCACCCCAGACCCTGCTCCCCAGTCCACTCTTTCCCACAGCACCTCCTGCACACCACTGAACAGCTGATTGTGGCGGATGGGAGGCGCTGGGAGAGAGGAGGAGGAGCTGATCGGGGAGGCTGCCGGTGGGTGCTTAGCACCCACTGTTTTTTTTCCATGGGTGCTCCAGCCCCAGAGCACCAACGGAATCGGCGCCTATGCCTGCAACCTTCTCCAGGCTGCAGCAATGTCAGTAATCAGGGTGCCCTTGCCTCATTCACTGCATACCCCTTACCTCCCCCATGAGCCCCAATAGGCTATTTTGGATCTTTGAAGTTGTGTGAGACTTCCAAAGATGTCCACATTCACAAGTAACCCTGCCTTGTGAGGGGCAAGGGGAAAGGGGCAGGCACTCTGGAGGTCCTGGTTGGTACATCCTAGGGAAACATCAGTAGGGATGATGTTTTGGACACCTTTCAGGAGTAGGAACCAGTGTTAGGCTTTGTGTAACTTTTTCTTTTATCGCCAATAGTGAGTGCAGCTCCAGAAATACTTGGAACATAATCTCAGCAAGGTTTGTGGCATTTTCTGTGCCTGAGTAAGCATTCTGCATGTTGCTCACCATAGTTATCTTATCACTGCTCACCCCAGAGGAAATAATGGGTGTTTGGGGAAAATGTGGGCCAGTGCAGTGCTTACTGTAGCATATTTTAAATGCTCAGTAGTGAGTAATTTCTTTCTTTTGACAAGATGGTGGCTCTTTAGAAAGTCTGTTTGCGCAGATGCTCTCCTGTGGCTGCTGTTTATGGAGCACTGTTGCCAAGGATGACCCTTGAATTCAACTCCCTGAACTCAGAGAAATGGCCTAGCCATGAGAGAGTAAGTCTACTGAGATTGTGGAGAGAGAAATTGGAATCCCCTGCCAGTCACTCATTAAAGTGGAGTTAAAGCTGCTGTCACAAGTGCCTTATGCTCCCCGAATCCCTCCAGAATGTGGGACTTCAGACCCTTAAACCCAACTATTGGAAAACTAGGAAATGCTCATTTAGGAGTGACAGAAGATAGACTTTGGTGCCAACAAGTCTTAAACCAATAGTGCAGCTATGGTGCGTGTCTGTTACTGCCTCAGATTACAAAGGTAGGTCCTACTCCCTCTATCAAACTGTCTGGAGTGGCTCATGAGCATGACTACCAACCTCAGGGCAGATTGTGAAGAAGCAGGGCACAAACCCCAAGCTGGTTATGAGTTCTATACTTAGATGTCACCAACCAAGTATCAAGTGTAAGCTCCTCAAGCAATATAACATCCTTGACATGGATTCACAGACAATCCTCTTGGGTACTCCGGTATATCTTGCCACCCAAGGAAGCTTGCCTTTGTGATAAATGGCTCCTTACACCAAAAATCACAACAATATTCAGGTTACTCCCAGTCCCAAAGGACCAGCCACTTATCCCAGGTCAGTTTGCACCTTAGATCCTCCATCAAAGACAACACTTGTAGCCAATCCAATAATAAATTAACTAAAGATTTATTAAGTAAGAAAAAGAAATGAGTTATTTACAAGGTTAAAGGACATAAACATACACACACAAATGAGTTACAGTCTTAGGTTTCAAAAGGTGATAGAAGTTGCTGTGATATGCATGCTCTGTGTGTCCTTTAGGGCTAACCCCTTGGAAATCTTTGCCCCTTAGAGTCCAAGCAGCATAAAGAGATACAGTTCCTTCTTGTCAGGGATTTTTATAGATTCATAGATATTAAGGTCAGAAGGGACCATTATGATCATCTAGTCTGATCTCCTGCACAATGCAGGCCACTGAATCTCACCCACCCACTCCTGCAATAAACCTCTCATCTATGTCTGAGCTATTGAAGTCCTCAAATCATGGTTTAAAGACTTCAAGGTGCAGAGAATCCTCCAGCAAGTGACCCATGCCCCATGCTGCGGAGGAAGGTGAAAAACTCCCAGGGCCTCTTCCAATCTGCCCTG